ATTGTGAAACTCGTGTATTAAATAAATTCAATGCACACAGACTGAAGTAGTTTAAGTCTTTGGTTCTTTTAATTGTGATGATTTTGGCTCACATTTAACAAAAACCCACCAATTCAGTATCTCAACAAATTAGAATATGGTGACATGCCAATCAGCTTTTTCAGTCCAAAAGACAATCACTGACTTCTCTCGGTTGGTTGTGCATCTTTTTCTTCCACACTTTTTCCTTCCACTCAACTTTGTTAACATGCTTGGATACAGCACTCTGTGAACAGCCCGCTTCTTTGGCAATGAATGTTTGTGGCTTACCCTCCTTGTGAAGGGTGTCAATGATTGTCTTCTGGACAACTGTCTGATCAGCAGTCTTCCCCATGATTGTGTAGCCTAGTGAACCAAACTGAGAGGCCATTTTGAAGGCTCAGGAAACCTTTGCAGGTGTTTTGTGTTGATTAGCTGATTGGCATGTCACCATATTTTAATTTGTTGAGATAGTGAATTGGTGGGTTTTTGTTAAATGTGAGCCAAAATCATCACAATTAAAAGAACCAAAGACTTAAACTACTTCAGTCTGTGTGCATTGAATTTATTTAATACACGAGTTTCACAATTTGAGTTGAATTACTGAAATAAATGAACTTTTCCACGACATTCTAATTTATTGAGATGCACCTGTATACATATATATTTATATATATACAGTATCTCACAGAAGTGACTACACCCCTCACATTTTTGTAAATATTTTATTATATATTTTCATGTGACAACACTGAAGAAATGACACTTTGCTACAATGTAAAGTAGTGTGTGTACAGCTTGTATAACAGTGTAAATTTGCTGTCCCCTCAAAATAACTCAACACAGCCATTAATGTCTAAACCGCTAGCCACAAAAAACAGCGGTTTAGACATCAATGACTGTGTGTTGAGTTATTTTAGATTTTTTTTTTTACTTGTCACTCAAGTTGTAAGTCAAATAAAAAATACCACAACTGATTCAAAATTGTCAATTAAATAATTGTTCAATTGTTTTAAAGGTCATTTAAATAAATAAACAAATAAATAAATAAATCTTAAACTTGTCCAAATTGTTATAAAATGTTATGGTTATCAAATAAAAACACACACACAAAACTAAAATAAAAAATAAAATAATTGTACACAATTTTAATTAAATGTCACTCAAAATTTTATTAAATTCTCAACTACAAAAATTCAGTATCTGAAATAAAAATATCAGAGAGAAAAAATTTTTATCCTACACATTTTTTATCCTACAATGAAACATGTCATTCAAATTATTAAACTGAAAAATACAAAAATTAAAAAAAAATTTAATGGTCCCAGATTACAGTCCATTGTTCACTGTGATCTTTATATGCTGGTTTCAGCCAATGTGGCTGGAGCACCGAGCGTCACCTGTCAAGCTTTCTATGGATATATCTCTCATGTCTCTTTGTTGAGTATTTGCTGAGTTACAGTTCATTTTAATGAGGCGTCTTTAAATAAAGATTACGCAGACCAAGGCGGCAGACTGCACACCCTGTTTGTTTTCTTTATTTTATAAATGCACAAAGTTCTGTTGTTATTATCTGTGTATACAAATAAAAGTAGACCCTTTACAGATTCGATTAATGTATTGCTCTTATCTGTAAGATCAAAACTGAAAGTGTAATTTAAGTTATTTTCGGTGTGATCAGGAGAAGATGCCTCAAAACGCGTATCCGCGTTAATCGACCTCAGAGGGTTAATGGAAATGGCTGGTCGTCGATGGCATTGTTTGGCACTTGAAATGGTGTTTACCAGCGGTGTGTTTAATGGCAGCTAGTCATTTCCGACCTTGCTGCTCTTAGCTACATCCACAAGGGTTTGAGAATAATAGTGTTTCTTTCCCACTAGGGGCCGAAGCTAGTGCCAAACAGACGCTCTCCACCTTCACTCCGACCTGTCAGTTCTCTCAAACACAGTTTGGGCTCTCCAGAGCCATGGCTCGTCCAAAACCCTCTCCGCCCCCTTCGTTCCCATAGATACGGACACTATGCCCTATGGGAGTATTTACAAGAGCGAGTACAGGCGGGGGCATCGGGGACGGGCGAAATAGAGAAACAGAAGAAAGTGTGGATCAAAGTTCAGCAAGTGTATTTGTTGAATGCTCTGATCTTCATTTACAAAAGAAACCGAATGTCTTTTTCAGCTCGGAGGCCAACTTGACATTTAGAAAGCCTTGGGTTTTGTTGACATGGACGATTTGTGATCACCTGCAAACTGTTTTTGACTCTAGGTTGTGAAGTAGATTAAAAATAAAAGCTTAGCTGCTAATCGTGCAAAAAGGAAGAAAGATCACTGTGACTTATCAGGCTGACGATGCAACAGATGAGAGCGTCACAACACCAAGGAGGACAGGAAGTCCTTTTGGGGGGGAGGGGGTTGAGTGAGAGAGAAAGAGATAAAAAATAACGAAAGGCAATGCATATCCGCACACCTTTCAAACACAGACACGCACATGAGCTCACCTTTAAAATATGACCGATATGGATTAAAAGGCAAATCTCAGGTTGAAAGATTAATACCATCTACTTCATTTCCACTGTGAGCGCTGAAAGCCACTTATGCAGCATAAAAGACACAGTGCTGCTCCTCGGCCTCTTCATTCAGCCCACACAAAGGCCACTCAAGGCTAAGAATCTCTCGTGGCTTTCAGGCCGCTACAGAGGAGGATGCTATACCTGTGAACACTGTAGCATAAAGCTGCTAGCTATTCCTCGGCTCGTCTCTCTGTGCGTCTGCTGTCTCTTCCTCTTCTCGTCCACTCTTCTCTCTCTCAGGCTGTCAGTTAAAGCTGCGCTCACCTTTATAAAGGCATCGCTGCTAAAACCACTCAGAGACACGGGGATCACAGCTGAATGAAGTCAACGGCCCACTCTGACCAAAGACCACCTCTCCTTGTCTCATTTCTCCTTTCTTTACATAATTTTTTAAAAAGTTATATTTATGGGAGTTTAGTGCCTTTATTTGATGGAACAATAGAGAAGAGACAGGAAAGCATTGGGAGGAGAGAGGGGAGCAGGATCGGCAAATGACCTTGAGATGGGAATTGAACTCGGGATCGTGGCTTTCAGGCCGCTACAGAGGAGGATGCTATACCTGTGAACACTGTAGCATAAAGCTGCTAGCTATTCCTCGGCTCGTCTCTCTGTGCGTCTGCTGTCTCTTCCTCTTCTCGTCCACTCTTCTCTCTCTCAGGCTGTCAGTTAAAGCTGCGCTCACCTTTATAAAGGCATCGCTGCTAAAACCACTCAGAGACACGGGGATCACAGCTGAATGAAGTCAACGGCCCACTCTGACCAAAGACCACCTCTCCTTGTCTCATTTCTCCTTTCTTTACATAATTTTTTTTAAAAGTTATATTTATGGGAATTTAGTGCCTTTATTTGATGGAACAATAGAGAAGAGACAGGAAAGCATTGGGAGGAGAGAGGGGAGCAGGATCGGCAAATGACCTTGAGATGGGAATTGAACTCGGGTCGCCGTGAAGGCAGTTGTGCCATAAGTCGGCACACTAACCACTAGGCTATTGGCACCGACATCTCCTTTCATTTTTATTCTCTACTTCCCTTAGTTACTCCCCCTCTCTCCTCATTTCTCATTCCCTCTCCCCATTTCTCTTATTTCTCCTTCAATCTCCACATTTCGCTTCTCTCTTCATTTTATTTCTCCTCCTCTCCTCATTTCTCTTTTTCCACCTCATTTCCTCTCCCAGTTTTTCTTCTCTCCTCTCTCTCCTTTATGCTATCCACCTCTTCTGCCTTTATTTTACCCTCCTCTCCTCATTTCTCATTCCCTCTTCCCATATTTCCTCTCTCCTCCCCTTATTTCTCCTTTACACTCCTTATTTCTCTTCTCCTTATCTCATCCTTTCTCTTCCCCCTCATCTTTCTTGTCTTCGTCTCATTTTCTCTCCATCTCTTCTCCTCCCTTATTTCTCTTCATCCTTTCACCATTTCTCCTCCCATCTTCTTATTTCTCATTCAGTCTCCATATTTTACTTCTCACTTACCGTTATTTCTCCTTCATGCTCCTTATATCTCCTCTCCTCCCCTTATTTCTCGCTCTTATATTTTTCCTTCTCCTCTCCTAATTTTTATAATCTAATTTCTCTTCTTTTTTTTCCTCAATTTATCATACCTTCCCCTTCATTTCTTTTTATAATCTAATTTTTCTTGTCTTCATCTCATTTCTATTCTCCCCCTTCCATTTTTCCTTCCTTCTCCTCATTTCTCTTCCCCTCCACCATTTCTCCTTCCCTCTCCTTATTTCTCTTCTTCTCTAACATAATTTTTCCTTTTCATCACATAATCTTTTCTCTTCCCCTTAGCTTTCCTTCCCTCTTCTCATGTCACTTCTTCTAATTCTTCTCTTAAACTCTCATTCTCATCCTTTTTACTCTATCAAAAACATTACTTGATGACTCAAATCACAACTACAGGCCAAAAAAATCACCCCAAATCCCTGTAACATTCCACTAAGCTCATTCTTTCTCAGAAAAAAAGTCTCAGAAATAAAGACATAGAAACATCACTCAGGTGAGCAATAACCTCAAATTCAGTATATCATAAGTCTGAAGATATCGTACATTTTTCACAAGCCTGCAGGCGTGAGTGAACATGACCGAGAAACATTCCACCCTGCGCATCCAATGGTAGATGTCAGACTAATCAAATAGAGTCAATGGATTGGCTACAGTGGAAATCGCTGCTCTTTTATTGGACCATATTAGCCTTGACCTTCAGGGCTCAAATTAAACGTCCTTGAAGATATAATGCTATAATGTAACATACAGCACAAGGGCTCCTGTACGGCTACAGAAAACTCACGCTTCAGAGCGTAACTTTGAACTGCACGACTAACGGCACAGTATAACTGAAGGACATTCATAATAACATTACACACACATGCAAAGACACAAACAGACACACACACACAAAACAAATGGGCTCTTACCTCTATGTCTATTTGTAGTTTTATCAAACATAAGCATAGCATCCTCTACCTGTAAGAAAACAGAGAGAAAAATTAGTAAAGAAAGGTGAAAACTGCCAGTGATTTGGTTGAAATTTACACTAGAATAATAATAAAAACTGCAACCATACCAGACCAACTGTATTTACTTTATTAAGTATTAATATTAATTTAATATTGCTTGCTTGAATAATTACTTACAAGATCTACATATTATTTTAATTAGCTGAATTTTTACATATTTATTCAAATATTAATAACTAAAAGAGCCGTTTCAACCAGCCTAAGCTGGTTTGCTTGGTTTCATAGCTTGGTTGACTGGTTTGAGCCTGGCTCTCAAAACTGGTATATTTGAGGTATTCAACAACAGCCTTTTTTGATATTGTAACATCTTGTGCACTTCTACTTAAATAGATAACTACTGGAGCCTAAAAGCATTTACACATGCATACAGATCTGAAAGCTGCTCATGGCCATGTTCTGTGAGGAATGATATCCCTCTACAGGCCCAAGGGTACCATCCTGTCTGACCCTGACAGAGGCCTGTTCATCCTTGAGGAAAACCCTGTCTGCAAGGACACACTTCAGAGTGCATCCAGCCATAGTCTTCACACTTACAAACACACTGCCACGGGTTTTATACATCCCACAGTACGTCTGAACATGCTCCTTTCTGTTTCTTTCACATTACATGCACGCACACTAATAAATGCACAAAAAGTGCATGCCATGCCTGGCGTATACATGCTGACATACACTCGCACACTCCAAAGCTCCTTCCTGAGGTCCCTGAGATTAGCCCTAAAGTACAGACGGTTGGAAAAACACCTTCCTGGCACAAAAGGAGCCATCAGTCACTCAGCCCCATAGAGAACAATAGAGCTGCAAGCTGTAAAGATCCTCATCACCCTCAATCACTTCCAATAAAGATCACACTGACTGGAGCTCTCATAGAGGCTGAGGGAAATCTGTTATCCTCCGCTATCACTCAATGCATATTTATGTTCCTCTAAAACAACGCTCTACTGTATGTTCAGAGAAAGATGTTTTATAAATGACCACTGGAAACATGAGTTTTTTTTTTAAAGTATGTTTCTTCTGTATGATTCCGTTTCTTCCACAATAAATAAATATACCATGAATGAATGAATGTGTATAAATATATATAGGAACAAGACAAGAATCATCCCTCACATGTTGTATAAACATGCTGTTTATTCTTACAAAAAGTCTTTGGGCACTAAATTGGTGGTTTCTTGGTAATACTCAGTTTCTATCTTGCAGTATGTAGTTAAAACATCATAGCATCTAATGAAAATGTTGATGCCAATGTAAATTTTTCTGAGAAACTACTAGCATTAGCACGGAGATTCTATAAACTGTGTAATATTATAATGCAGCAATATAAACCATCATGCCTGCCTTTCACAATCACAGTGATGTATGTCGGCTTTTTTTTTTAAAGTATGTTTCTTCTGTATGATTCCGTTTCTTCCACAATAAATAAATATACCATGAATGAATGAATGTGTATAAATATATATAGGAACAAGACAAGAATCATCCCTCACATGTTGTATAAACATGCTGTTTATTCTTACAAAAAGTCTTTGGGCACTAAATTGGTGGTTTCTTGGTAATACTCAGTTTCTATCTTGCAGTATGTAGTTAAAACATCATAGCATCTAATGAAAATGTTGATGCCAATGTAAATGGATTTTTCTGAGAAACTACTAGCATTAGCACGGAGATTCTATAAACTGTGTAATATTATAATGCAGCAATATAAACCATCATGCCTGCCTTTCACAATCGCAGTGATGTATGTCGGCTCTATAATTATGTTGTCCATGCTGGTGGATGCTAGTTTATAGGCCTGTAGCCGGAGCATATAGTTCTGTCCAGAAAGAGGAGAGTCTCTTGACTACAGCTGCACTAAAGCATGATGGGAGGAGACAGCCCTCGACTCAGGCTCATATGTAACTGTCTCTCCTCATAACCAGCATGAAGTCTCTCTCTTTCTCACCCTCACTCCATATTTCTCATACAGTGAGAACATATGTCACCTGTCTTTGACATATAAAGTCTGAGGCCATTAGTGAAAAAGCTTCTAATTTGCATTTTTCTAATTTCTATATATAATATAGAGAAACTGAAAATTTTAATTAAAATTTATTATAATTGAAAGGCAAAATATACAATACATAAAATACTGAAAAAATGAAACATTGATATAGTAATTTATTATTTCTATACTTGCTTAAATTTTTTTAATACTATAATATATAACATTGTATACTATAGTAAATAAACTGAAAAGTGAAAAGTTGAACAAAATTTTTAAAAAGCAAAAATAAAATAAAAAAATTTAATAAATAAATAAATGAATATACTGAAATTGTAGGTGTGAAATATTATAATTAAAGTGCAAATTTAGCCTATATCATTATATTTATTGAAATTTTGATTTAAAAACAATGAAATCTCTTGTGTATCTGCTTCAATTTTTTCCCCTCAATATTTATATTCTCAAACGCTCTCTAGTTATTCTCGATGACCTAATGCACAACTTCACACTTTAGTCCTGCTTTGCTGCCTCCAAACCACCCTGACCCTTTCAGCCTTTCAATAGGGGAACAAGTATTCAAGGATAGATTCAGCCTGCCAGCGGCCATCAGATTGTGGGATAAGAAGCTCTTGAGGGCACACACACATATACAGAAACGGCACAAAGGTGAGCGTGGTCCCACACCCGGTCTATGCCTAATCTTAGGTCCGCTCTTCTCCTCCTTCTGTGAAAGAAAAGCCTGAAGGATAATAGCTGTCTCTTTAGTATGTAAGGGAACCGGGCGGCCCCCACAGATAACAGTCCCGCTTTTATATTCACTGAGAGAGATGAGGTAAAAAGGGGCGACTAGATTCATGGAAAAGAACAGAAAGCTCTTTTTAGAGTTCTTCCTATCTAGTAACGCAGCAGGGGGGAGGAAGGGGCAATTCAAGTTCTCTTAGAAGGGTGACAGAAGGTTCCGGAGAGTCTGCGAGGGTAATGGCACATGCATATGCGACGGTGCTGCATTCGAAATGGCCTGACCTTTACTTGTTAGCTCTTGCGACTCTGAGGGGCCGCGGGATGGCGGGACCCCGGGTTCGTTGTGCGCCGATCGATGCGAAACAAGTGGCCTTACAGCGCTCTGATGTGGAGGGGAATTAATTAGCCGACCGCGGCGCCTGGAAGAACGCGGCAGCACATGGTGCAGGATGGTAAATTGTGCAAATTCTCCCCAGGCCCAGAAGGATGGTGCCATTAAAAGCCCCCGTGGCACACCCTAGGTGGTCGCTCCACTTTGCCATTAAACACCATTACTGATAATTGACTGAACAAGTGGCCTTTTTACTGGCCGTCCTTAGCTTGGTCAGTGGCTAATACGCGCTGTGCACCCGGCACAATGAGTAAATGCCACGGTAATGCCTGTTTTATGACAGGCATGGAAGGGGCAGGTCCTGTCTGAGTGTCGATAAAACAGCGTTTAAATGTAGTTTGTGAAAACCAACTGTAGCTCGCCTTGAGATTTATGCTTCTTATTAGCAGGGGCCGTACATTTGGCCCTATGAGACACAGGCCTTTATGGGCTTTTATAGCTGGACTGTTATGAAGAAAAGCACACAGGCGTTGTGACCTCATATTGCCAGAGAACACAACATGCAGTGGAGTTAACCAGGGGCCAAATACTAACCGACCTCAAAACAACAAGTGAATCATTTCCATGCTACTAGCGTCACCATAAAAAAAATGCAAAAATAACAATTGTTTTCTATTTGCCATTGGTCCAGTTGTTTTGGATGCTTAAAAAACCCATTGAGGGAATCAATGTACAAATGGTTCATTTATAGCTTTCTGAAACAATTTTATGAATAAATCAATGAAAAATTAAAATGTAATTAAAAATCCAATTAAAAAGCCCAATATAAAACAAAACAAAAGCAAATAAATAAATAAAAGGTAAAAAATAAAAACTTCAAACATTAATGTTTAGAGATGAATGTTTTTGGAGAAATGCTCCTATTCACAGTTTTCTGGATGTATTTAAAAATAATAAATAAATAAATAATAAAATAAAAAGCCGAAACAGAGATAAGATAAAAACAACAACATAATGCTTTCCAAAAAACGTAAAAGCCAAAAAAGTGCATCTATCAAACTGTCCTGAAGCTAAATGGCTAGCTCACTCCTGTAAACCTGGTGCAGTCTCGATCGGTGTGTTCCTGTATGGCAGCTGTGCAAAGCTGCTTGACAACATGTTTTAATTTAAGTAAGAAATATAATTGGAAAGTCTGTGGGGCCATTTTTTATTAACTGTGGAAGGTATCAGTGGGAGGACGGGGGGGAATACAAGCCGGCGGAAGCACAGTCAGACAGGGGGAGATTGTGTTTACATGTAGGCGAGGGATGGAGAGAAGGCAATCCAACACTTGGTTAAATTCACTCAGCCGCCAGGGAGTGGAATCTACCACCTGCCATATCACCGTTCGCTAAATCTTAGACAGTAAGGAAAGAAAAACAGACTCCACCTCTCTCCTCGTGTCAAACTAACGTGTGCGTGCCTGTCACACCATGGCAGAAATCTCCAAAACACATACTGCAAAAAAAATTTAATCAGACGCATTGAATTATTTATCAGGGGACAAAAGCATCAGTGGGTTTTCTGCCTCTTTACAGCATTTACAGAAAGCAGAGAGGATGGGCAATAGAAACCGACAATAGCTTCACACAGAGTTTCCACTGCGGTCTCTAACTGCATTCTTGCAACAATTTTTAAATGGAAATTACATTCAACAAATTAATGTCATATTTCAAAAATATTTTGTATTTTATAATATATAGCTATTTAAAAAAAAATTCAAATCTGTTGAAAAATATTAAGTTATATATGTATGCAATTTTATAGCTATAAATACAATATAAATTAAATACAAATTGAACACACCTACATGTAACTTACATATACTGTACACACACATACTGTATGCATG